TGTAAAGAAACCCAATATGTATATTATGACCATCACAATTTTCTTAAAAAAGTATATAGTATACAAAAAATTCAAAATTACACAAACATACCAGTAAAAGTAGCATGCAACCAACAAAACAAGCAATTAATTTGCTTCAAAATCTCATTTTTTTTTTGTTTGTTTGTTTCAGGTGGGATAATTACACAATTTTTTATTTGGGAGCACTTTTGAATAAATACATTTCTTAAATAGGCTTATGCAAATTGGACATATTCAAAAGTTGCCATCATTTATTTTTATACAATGAGGAGAAATAAATTATTCATAAGCCCATTTTAATTTAGCATGAAATATAAATATTTATTCAAATTGACTTTAACATCCAAAACTTCAATTGAGAAGTATTTTCAAACAAGCTCGTTAATACATGCTTTATAACTAGTATTTCTTTTACCCGGAAAAAAATCCATATTTCTTTTTAAATAATAAATTTGTATACGTACTGTTATTGTTTGAATAGATAATAAGGTTATGTTTGATAAAACTAGCTGATAAGCTAGCTTATAGCTTATCAGTATTTTTTTAGCTTATAGTTTATAATTTATGACATTTAGCTTATATAAGTGTTCGGTAAAATTTGTTGATAAGCTAGCTGGAATAAAAAAATCCAACTAACTTATTTAGAAAACTACCTAAAGAAGCTTATCAAATAAACTCGAGTTTTTTTAAAAATGCTCGTCATATCAATCAAGACTAGAAGTCATGTTTGATAAAAAGATTGGCTTACATGTCTTTTTTTTTTATGTTTTTTTCTCAATTCAATTTGTATGGACATCTTTAATTTTATAATCACAAAAAAAAAAATAAAAAAAAAATAAAAAAAAAATCAAACTTTAAAAAGAAACCAGTGGCAAAGCTCCATACTTTGAGTGGGTAGAAATAAAACAACCACTCTCTCATCTTTGCTTAGAATTCAAGTAGCGTTTGTCCGCTTTTTTTCTTTTGTACCTTTCTTGCTACTTGAATGTTGTTCTACTTATGGTGAATTTGAAAACAATGGTCACTTGTTCTTACATTTGTTGATCTGTTGTCGGTAGATACAATAAGGGATTTGTGGTGGGAAAATGGAAAATATCTCTGTTGTCAGCTTTTGTAATAATTCTTGTTGGTGACTCTGACTATGCCTTTTCTTCTCCCAAATCTGATGCCTTGTCTGATCTGGGAGTTCATCGGATTCCTCAAATATCTGCATATTCTTCATCTGTTTTGGGTACACTTTCTGACACTTGGTTTTTTTTTTTTTTAAGGTTTTATCCCTTTTGCCGTTTTTCTCACATGGGCAAGTGATTATCAGAATTCAGATGCAATTGGGCTCCATTGCTTTTTTGATGCACAGTTTGTAGTTAGTAAAAGCTTTGATCTTGATTGCCTTCTTTTGGGTTGTTCTGAACTGCACGTATGGTGTTTGATAAAATAGCTGAATAAAAGAAGTGCCTTTTTTTAATTTTTTAATTTTTTTTCCCTGAATCTCTATGCTTCTCTGTAGATAGTATAGATGTTTTTTGCCGTTCTGAAATTAATGTAAAATCACGATTGATTATCCAGTATCGACCGATAAGGAGCTAGTAATCTGTGATATGGGTTGGCTATCCAAGATTCTCAGAGGCCCCAGTCACAGAATCTCGAAAGGGCAGTATCATTCGAAATATGAAGATGAAATAGTTTGGGAAGGGCCTACAAGATCAGCGGTAGTTCATATTCATTGACCATCATCATATATCAAATCATTTGCAGTATCTCTGAGAGATCATTTACGTGTTCTGTACACACACACGGGCACACACACACACACACACATATATGTATTAATTTTCATTTCGTGTCTGGTATAGGATCGATTGTCGGATTTTGACAAAGAAGAGCTTGACCGAGCAATTGCACTCTCTATTGCCGAAGAAGATGAGAAAGGGAAAAAAGTAGTAGGTAGTAGACGATCCTTTCATCTTCTTGAAATTTGTGTGCACAGTCTATAGAAGTTTTAATTTTCACAGAATAATAATAAGAACTTGCGTTTGAAATTTTTATTTTATTTTTTCTCAAAAAATCGTGACGTTTGTACCAGATGATGATGATGATGATGATGATGATGATGATGATGAGTCTCGATTGAAGGAGGATGAAGAGCTGGCAAAGGCTATCCAAGAGAGCTGGAATCTTAAATTGTCCCCACCTCGTTCGCCTCCTACTTCATCACCTCCACCTCGATCACCTAGATATGATTACGGGAGTTTCTTATCGCCTTATCCTTTCATGAACCCTTCAGCATACAGGTAATTAACTCTCCTTTATGGGCCCTTTTTTCCTCTTCATATCAACTTTCATGAATTTTTCTTTTGAAATACTGATCGAATGCCTCTCTCAGAAATTTATTAATCTATCAAATCGAAAGGTGAAAGTAGTTTATTTTTTCAATGGGTTATACTGTTTCCATTGTGATTCGTTCTCAATGTGAATAAAGATGTAATTTTTATCGAATTACGAAAAAAATAAAGGACTCTCTCACAGATTGTGCACATTTTTAGTTGATCATTCAAGTTTGATATGTAATTAGAGAGGTGCAGTTTTCTTGCTAGGATGATGAGCATTTTTCTGTACAAACTGTGCCATTGCATTGATTAATATTACTGAGAAAGATTTGAACAAATTGCCTTTCCTTTTTTCCCCACCGTTTTACAGAATGTGTGCTGGTTGCCATAGTGAAATTGGTCATGGAAGATATTTGAGTTGCATGGGAGCTGTTTGGCATCCGGATTGTTTTCTTTGTCATGCTTGCAATCACCCAATATCCGATTATGAGGTAGTTAGGTACTGAATTTTGATTATAACTTCTCGAGCCAAACGAAGTCATTTCATGAACTGACTTCTTACAATTTCCCCTTTTTCAGTTTTCCTTGTCTGATAATCGTCCTTTTCATAAGTCCTGCTACAAGGATCTGCACCACCCAAAATGCGATGTTTGTAAACACTTCGTAAGTCTCTTAGCATCACACAAACACATTAATAAATTAAGTGTATATATATATATATATATATATATATATATAT